CACAAGCCTGAGGTTAAAATCAGCCTGAGAGGGAAGAAGCTGATGAGGAACAAGATCAAGTAAATGGCATATTCATTTGATGCGTGCTGTCAAGGTATATCTGTCCAGGTAGGTCTTACCTAACAGGCTGCACAGCTACTGCCTAACGGGATGCTGGCAGGTGTCTTTCTGAGTTTAAAGTTGGAGCTCTGGAGCCCATCTATGAACTGTGGACATTAGAGAGATGGGTTGTGTGACCTCAAAAGTGACTTCCGAAGCTAATATTGTGTGAAGTCTGCAGCTGTGGTGGGTATCCTGGGCCACATCTGAGGAGGAAGCTGTGCCTCACAGTCAGCCTGATCTGAATAAGCATGGTCACTTGCATGCCCCTCTGAGCTGCCTTTTGGTCTATAAACTCCATCTGTGGCCATTGTCACTATGTTCCAAGGGGAGCAAAACTCATCATGGGGCCATCACCGAATTGCCAACCCGAATGACTTGCCTTCTTCATTGGGCCAGAGAAGATCTCTCTGTTTCCTGAATTTCTCCCTCTTTTCCTTAGAGGTAAGAATGTAACCATATCTGTTCCCTCAGCCCACATTGGAATCACAGTCTATTTTCTTTAAAAGGGCCTGAAATGAACACATTACAAAATGATTTTCTTAGAAAGTGCTGATTAATTATCATAAGAACCCTGTGAAGGTTAAGGCTGACATCCTCAAAGAGAGAGAACTGAGGCACAAGGAGGTATATGACTTTTATAAAGACTCACAGCTGTGACTCCTGGACCCAAATTCAGAGCTTTAGATGGTGGCAAATGGAGGGTTTTTTACATTTCATTTGTTTGTTTGTTTGTTTCTTTTTACACTTTTCCAGCAGATTGGTGTTCTCACTTCCATGAAATACAATTTTAAACTATGGTTTCAATAATACTAAATAATGTATAATTGAATAAATAGCTAATACCTATAAAACAATATATTAAAGTAATTTTATTTACTTTCATATTTTTAATAGATGATTTCCTTTTATGTCTCAGATACAGTGTTAGACATAGTTGATATAGCATTAACTCTTTATTCCAATAGGTAGTGTATTGTCATCGTTAGACAAGGAAGAAAATTGACATTTAAAGAGGCAGAGTAAGTTATCAAAGTATATGGCTGGTAAGAGGGAAACATTCAGCCTTATTTAATTGAATCTACCTCATTGTTTCTTTGTAATATTTATCTTGAGTAAAATTTCTATACATTTTGCAGAACCTTTCAAACTTTCATATGAAATTTGTTTCTGCATCCTTAGCGGACTCTGTTTAATGTGTATAATTTCAGTAAAACTGGGAAAGAGAAATTATTTGCAAATGTTGAAGTCATGGTTCAGTTCCACCTTTCAGCCTGTACTAGCCTCTTTCTGAACCGAGAGTTAGCAGTGATGGGAACCTCCATATTGTATCATGGGGAGCCCAAGCACTACAATAATTTATAAAGTCCTGAATGTAGCCAGAGTTAGGTATAAAGAAGCAAAGATTTCTCTCTCATTCCCACCTGAGGTCATTGGAAAGCCTCTGTCTCAACTTAACTTATTTACTTTTATTATGTCCTGAGGTCAGAAACTCTGCAGGTCAGCTCCATCTGATCTGCTGCTAGCATTCACCTGAGGTAAACACTTGTTCTCTAGTGGTGAAAGGAGAGTACAGTGTAAGTGCAAACAAGCCACCTACCTATACAAGTTTCCTATCTACTAGTCTTTGCTGTTCTTACTTCAAAAACATGGTTTACCTGAGAAGTCAAATTCCAGAACAGTCTTAAAACATTCCATGTAATGCCGATTATATAGAAATAAATCCTTGGTAACAACGAGCCCTGAGCTGACATCATGTTACATGGGAATTATGTATCTCTTATGTAAGTGGATAGATAAGGAATTATACAAAGAGAGAGAATGAATCCTAAGACTCAGGAGTGCTTAGTTCTGACCCTAAGCCCAGTCAATTATTTTTAATATAATATGGGAAGAAATTCTGTAATGTCAGGAAGTCCTGTTAAATGTGAGTGACATACTCAATCTAGAGGATTGCTATAAGGTATCACTGAGTAAATGCATGTAGAAGCACAGCCTGGGATAGTACCCAGAGCATAAGCAGTTCCAGGGAATGGGAGAGATTATCATACAGACAACAAATGGGATTTCTCACATGATATCCATGGAAGGTAACCGATATACTGACTCTTCAAAGATTTTACAAAATATTTCAAGAGCCTAAACGGTGTCATCTTTGCCCCAGTTATTTGGCTTCTGAGGATCTTACCTTACAAAAATCTCACAGTATCATTTTCCAGTCTAAAATACCTCAGTGGTTCCACATGGTCTATAAAGTAAAGGTCAGTATCTTTAACTTATCTTTTATGATCTTGTACTTGTTAATTCTTTAATCTTATGCTTTTAATTCTCACTTTGAATTCTAGGTTCTAGACATAAATATTCTTCCCTAAAGGGAAAAAAATATTATTAAAGAGAAACCATACACACACCATTCTAGATGACTAAACTGCCTTAGTCATCCTCTCTTCCTAAGCTCATCTCATCTTTCGGTAGTTCTTGGTCATGTGAGGGTTATTTGCCTGTCTTGGTACTCCTGAAGAATCCTATCTTTCTCTTCTGAACTTTGCATGCTTGAGATCTTTGCTGATCTGGTATTGACTGCAGATTTTATGCTCCATGTGAAGGTGAGCATAGCGCTTCTGCTTTTCATTGTACTTTCTATGCCTAACTATGCCGGTATATGATAGATTCTGTGTATTTCCTGAAGGAATAGAAGTAAACTCAAAAAGGAAGGAAAGGAACTCTGACCATTCACACATTGATTACTGTGTTGATCAAAAGAGTAAAAAGTTAGAAAAAAATTCTGCTAAATTTTTTGGCTGTTTTTAATGTGGTTTATTAGCACAGTAACAAATGCAGACTGAAGTTGTCCACAACATAGAACCAATCCACTGAGCAACTTCTATTCCACGCCTGACAGTTAACAGCTTAAGGTATTTCACTACAGGTTTTCACAACTTCTGATTCAAATGTTTCACCTTTGTACAATAAAGGAGATTGGCATATAAAATAAAATACATTAGCCACTCATTTCCTATATGGTGTTTTATAGCCATGTGTCCATTTCATATATATGAGATGGCAGTCTCTAAAAACTCTATTAAATATCAATGTTTCCCTTCCAAGAAGGGAGAACAAATTCCAATTAAAAAAAAAAGTATGTCATCTTAGAGGGATTTTATGTAAGTGGGCATGTGTGAAACCTGTACAAAATTAAGCTGTTTTAAATTTACAGACACAGCAATTGAACCCAGTGTCTAAGTGTATGTTCTTTTCTGTACTACATTTCCGCTAAGATTGCAGAACGAATGACAGTTTATAAGTTGCTATTACCAACTCTGTCTACTATAGCAAGATACCTTAAGTTACAACAACATCTTAGGAAATAAGACTGAATAATACCTGTTATAGAAATACCCTACTCTTTACCAATTGCCACCTACCATTCCCCTTCAAAATCATGTGGGACAGGGAGGCAAAGCATTAATGGCACAAAGAGATGTGGTATTATCTGTTGAAGATATTTCGTAGTTTTATCCACAGTACTAGGGAGAAATGTTCACCTGTTGAAATATCCATTTTGTAAGACAAATTATAATGTGATCGAATGTGTGGAAGAAAATGAAATGAAAAAATAAATAAGAGGGAAAAAAATCATATGCAGCTGTCTTCTGTGACAGACAGATAACGTAAGAAATGTCAACACCAACTTATGTAGCGTATCTCTTGGTCTACCGTCTGGCTATTCTGTCATGTTCTGCTCTGTTGGTCATCTACTGAGTGGCAGTGCTTCCCACGAAAGGGTCAGCAGGATTACAGTCTGTAAGAAGTGAGCAGATAGAAAGGAGGGCCTTAGAAATGGTTAGTGCTGGATTCCAATTGTCTTTCACCATGTCCAAGCAAATTACTCCTTGACTGTTAATATTGCAGTGATAGACTCTTGTCTGAAATGTGGCCTTTGGAGGCTTGACGGGATACTCTGGTGTAAAAGTGATATCGAGGAAGAACACACCACCTTCATACATGGACCCTGGAGGCCCTAGGATGATGGATCGCCATTCATAGATGTTAACTCCTTTGGACCAGCACTGCAGTTGGGTGGATGGTCTAAAGTGATGTCTGCCGGCTCGTTCTAAATCCTCTTGGTGCTGGTAGAGAGGAACTTGGAGTTTTTGCTCATGATGACTTTACTCACCATCTTAAGGGTGTTTGTTTCTTTCTCGGTTTGCTGGTTAGAGGACGAAGATGAGGAGGAGCTGGTGCTGGCCCTCGAATCATCATCCGACATAGCGAATCCTCGCCTCCCCCACCCCCCACCCCCACAAACAGCCCCTCTCTTTGTGTCTGGATCCTCTGTGCCACTATGATGGTGGCTGCTGCTGTGGCTGTTGCTGGGCCTGGCCATTCATGTCTCGCTTGCTGGGAGAGAAGCGGAAGTGCAGCAACAGCAACTATTAAACAGGCAATGGCTTCCCCCAGCCAACACACTCGCACAGCACTCCTCCCTGCTACATTTTTAATATAGAAAATGTGTTAAACTAACAGTGATTTCTCACACAATGGAATATTAAGCCAGTGTATTTTATGTAAAAAGAGTTAATAGTGGCACATGAAAATGACATGAGTTATTATTAAGTAAAAAAACAAGGAATGAATTTATACGTTCAGTTATCTCAATTATCAAAAATATTTGGGAAAGACTGGAAGAAATATTCTAAAGTAGTAATAATCTTTGTCTCTGACTAGTGATATTATAAATGATTTTATTTTTGTTTATACGTTCAGTGTTTTCCAAATACTCCAGATGAGTGTGTATTTTGTCATTATGATACATGCCAACATTTTATTTAAAAGATAATCAATATCCGGCAATGGTAAAGTTCCCAGGGGTAATAGGAGAGGAACTCAAATTGTGAATTAGCAGCAAAGGGTGGTCAGCAGCACCCCAGGTTGGTGTTTATATTTATAAAGCTGCCACTTCCCTGAGCAATATGGTTGCATCTACCTGCTGATTTATATTCCTTGTCAAGGGAAGCCAAAGAACGATAACTCTCCGATGCTAAGTCTTCCTTTGGGATCATGTTCAGTCACTTCACTCCCAAAATACTTGATCAATTATATACTACCTGTTGACACCCTAAGACACATTTAAAATGAATGTCTTTAAAGCAGGAGCAGTCCACAAATCCAATGACAAAAACACTTTCTCTCCAGGTTTAAAATCACTCTTAGCTACACAGTGGCCTTCATGTCTCAGCTTTTACTTATTTACTTACTTCCTTACTTATTTATATATTTTTTAAGCCACTGGGTTCAGGGCTTGAACCATAGTCGACTACTTGAGAGTCCAGCAACATAACCATTACATCATCTGCTGGTCCCTACATCTCAGCTTTGAGTCAAAGCATAAGCTAAGACTTTGCATGTTGTCTCTGTCTCACATGATCATTGGGAGGACACACAACTTCATGCAGCCTCAGATTGTTCATTTGTACAATGGAAATGAGTCACTAATTAATAAAATACTAATCATCAGCTTAGTATTTGACCCAGGTGCGATATTGGTCATACAAATACTTTGTAAATAGTGAGTTATTACACATGTAGTCCACTTTATGAGGGAGAGGTTATCCTTCTCTTCTTTGTTTCTGATTGGAATCCTAAGTAATTCACAAAGTACCTGAGAACACACCACCAGTCTTGTACTTGTGTATCTGGAATGCCTAACACGATGTCTAATGCACAAGTAGTGCCTCCTAAATGCTCATTGAGTTGCTTCTGGATTGCTGTCAACCAGTCAGTGCCACAATCACCAAATGGTTAATTTCTCCTATTACTATCCACATCACTGTACTAATTCTAAGTAGAAATCACTCTGTTTTCACAACCTATAGACCATCAAGGAAATCAATATTGAACAAATAAATACACATGCAATGTGTGTTACATGAAGAATTGCAAGAGCATTTACCTTAGACTTTGTTGAAGGGATTCAGGCAATGGTGTTCTGTGGAGATGGTTTTTAAACTGAGTCCTTAATGAGAAAAATGAAATAAAGCAGAAGGGAGGTTGGGTATGGGAATCACTTGCAGGGCAGATGGAATGGTACATTTGAAAGCCCCATTATGAGGTGCCATCCCTGTTGTCTTAGAAGAAATTGACTAGACTATGAGCTTTTCAGCAGTGGGATTGTATCCTCTTTGACTTTGTGTTTGTGATATGTCAGAAAGTGTTGGTATATTGTAGTAGTTTTATAGCTCCCTATTGACAATGGCAGTAGTCTCAGCTGTCTAAAAAATAATCCTGCCTGTTTCGAAAGAAAATCACAAGTGCATAATTAACAAGACAGGTATCTGGATCCAAATATCCCACCAGATATCAATCTTTAATTCTCTTTTAGTTAAAAAGCTGATGAAAACAACATATATATATA